AGGTATAGAAGAAGGTGAAGAAATCCAACTCAAAGGCCCAGAAAACATTCAACAAAATCATAGAAGAGAACATTCCCAACCTAAAGAAAGACATGCCAAGAAAAGTACAGGAAGACTAGATTCCCCTCCCAAAAAAAAGGTCTCCTTGCCACATAATAATCAAAACCCCAAACATACACAATAAAGAGAAAATATTAAGAGCAGCAAAGGAAAAAAGTCAAGTAACATATAAAGGCAAAACTATCAGAATTACATGTGACTTTTTTTTATAGGAACTCTGAAAGTCAGAAGGTCCTGGATAGATATTCTACCTACACTAAGAGACCATGGATGCCAGCCCAGACTACTATACCCAGCAAAGCTTTCAATCAATGTAGATGGAGAAAACAAGATATTTCATGACAAAACCAGATTCAAGCCCTACATATCCACCAATCCAGCCCTACAGAAAGTTCTGGAAGGAAAACTGAAACCCAAGGAATTTAACTACAACCAGAAAAACATAGGCAATAGACAATCCCACTTTACCAACAGCCAAAAGGAAAAAGGGATGGAAACCCACACATAATTTCACCAACACCACCAAATCCAAAACAAACAAGAATGAACAAGCATTGGTCATTAATATCCCTCAATATTAATGTTCTTAACTCGCCTATAAAAAGACACAGATTAGCAAAATAGATAAGATAAGAAGACAGAAACCATCCTGCTGCTGCATACAAGAAACACACCTCAACTTCAAAAACAGATGGTACCTAAGAATTAAAAGTTGGGAAAAGATTTTCCAATCAAATGGACCTAAGAAACAAGGGGGGGGTAGCAATCCTAATATCCAACAAATTGGACTTTAAACTAAAATCAATCAAAAGAGATGAAGGAGGTCACTTTCTACTCATCACAGGAGAAATCCATCAGGATGAAGTCTCAATTCTAAACATTTATGCCCCAAATATGAAGGCACCCACATTTGTAAAAGAACATTACTAAAATGCAAATCACACATAAAACCGCACACACTTATAGTGGGAGAGTTCAACATCCCCACTCTCACCACTGGACAGGAATACCAGACAGAAACTTAACAAAGAAACAAAGGAATGGATAGAAGTTATGACCTAATTGGGATTAACTGATATCTATAGAACATTCCATCCAAATACAAAAGAATATACCTTCTTCTCAGCACCACATGGTGCCGTCTCTAAAATTGACCACATACTTGGCAACAGAGCAATCCTCAACAGTACAAAAAAATTAAAATAATCCCCTGTATCTTATCAGACTACCATGATTTAAAGTTAGAATTCAACAACAACACGAATTGCAGAAAACCTACAAACTCATGGAAATTAAGTAACACCTAATTGCATAATTCCTGGGTGGACGAAGAAATAATAAAAGAAATTAAAGATTTCCTAGAATTCAATGAGAATGCTGACACAACATACCCAAACCTATGGGACACTTTGAAAGCAGTGCTAAGAGGAAAGTTCATAGAGCTAAATGCCCACATGAAGAAACAAGAGTATAATCACACTAGAGAATTGACAGCACAAATGAAA